AAACTGACTTATGTCTTGTCACTAAAATAATCGTTGTAACATTGTACGTAATAAAATATTTAAATATTAAATAACATTATTGGTCTCCTGTAAAACTCCACATCCATCAGGTTATGGGCCCAGCAACGCACAGATGGCGAATACAAAAAATCAAGTTGGATTTGAACATCTTAATAAAACAAATTATGATACATGGAAAATACAAGCAGAAGCTGTACTCATAAAAGCAGGACTTTTTACATGTTTATCATCAACCGATATTAATGCAGAAAAAGATTTATTGGCCAAAGCCGAACTGCTATTAATAATTTCGCCGTCCCAACTTAAATTAGTAAAATCATGCAAAACAGCAAAAGACGTATGGGAGACCCTTAAAAACGCTTACGAAAGTCGTGGACCTGCACGAAAAGCAACATTATTAAAAAAGTTACTACACAAAAAAATGAAACATGATGAATCCGCCAGAGATCATATAAATGAATTCATCGACTTGGTGGATAAATTAAAAGACATGGACATCAGCATCAATGAAGACCTCCTGAGCATAATGTTACTATACAGTTTGCCAGATTCCTACGAGAACTTCAGAGTGGCTATCGAGTCTCGTGATAAACTTCCGTACCTCGAAGAACTCAAAACGAAAATTATAGAAGAAAGTGAAGCTCGTTTAAATAAAAATCTGGAAAAGGAGGAAGAAGAAGAAGCATTTTATGGAGGGAAACATAAACAAAAATCTTATCGATTTCAAAAATTCAAAAATAAGAATTCAAATGGAAATAGAATACAATGTGACAACTGTCACAAATTTGGACACAAAACAAGTGATTGTTGGTTTAACAAAAATGTAAGAAATAAAAATGTAAATTTATATTGCACTGAATCTTGTTATACTATAGAAAATAAAAATGATAATAAATGGTGCATTGATAGTGGGTGCACATCCCACATGTGCAATGATAAATCTCTTTTCGTGTTCATAAATAAAGAAGAAAATGGAACACTTAAGTTAGCCTCGAATAAAACAGAAAAGATAGAAGGCAAAGGGTTAGTAAAGATAAAAATTAAAAATGAAACAGTAAATTTACACAATACCTTATATATTCCAGAGTTATCAACTAATTTGATATCCGTAGCACGAATTACTGAAAATGGTTTTAACGTATTATTTACAAAGAATAATGCAATTATTAAAAATCCAAATGGAAAACCAATAATTACAGCAAGGAAGGAAGATAAACCTTATTATGTGAATGCAAATTTAAGCACAAAAGAAAAAGCAAATCAAGCCTATAAAGAAGAATCAGATATAGACATATGGCACAAAAAACTAGGACATTTAAATGAATATGATTTAAAACGAGCTATGAGAAATAATATAATAAAAGGCATTGATTTTAATGAGAATGACAAATTAAAAGAATGTGAAAGTTGCGTAAAAGGAAAAATGACGAATTTACCTTTTCCGAAGGAAAGGCCTGAAGAAACAAAAGCTCCTCAAAAACTACATACTATACACTCAGATGTGTGTGGTCCAATGCCCGTAAATAGTAACGGAGATCACAGATACTTCGTCACCTTTACGGATGAATACAGCAGATATGGCAGAGTCTATTTTCTGAAAAATAAAAGTGAAGTTTTAGGAAAGTTTATAGAATATAAAAAGGAAATGGAAAGATATACAGGAAATAAAATAAAAATATTGCAGACAGATAACGGAAAGGAATATGTTAATAACGAATTCAACACGTATTTAAAGGAAAACGGCATAGCTCGACGCTTATCAGCTCCTTATACGCCCCAACATAATGGGTTAGCTGAACGGAGAAATAGAACTCTCTTGGAAAAAGCTCGATGCATGTTAATCGAATCAAAAATACCAGAAAGTTTTTGGGCCGAAGCAATACACACGGCGAATTATATAACGAATAGAGTACCTTCCAAGGCCACAAATGGAAAAACACCTTTCGAGATATGGGTTGGTTACACTCCATCAGTGAGACATTTCAGATGTTTCGGAGTAAAAGCTTTTGTATTAAATAAAAGAAATTTAAGAAAATTTTCACCCAGAGCTAAGAAAGGATTTTTTGTCGGCTACTCCGAAAATACGAAAGGCTACAGAATATGGGTCTCAGAATTGAAAAGAGTCGTTATAAGTAGAGATGTAAAATTCTTAAAAGATTTACATTACGAAGAAATAAAAACAAATGAAAATGAAGAAGGTATTAAGTCGTATATACAATTAAATTCAGAACAAATAGATACGAAGCAAATAGATGAACAAATTCAACCTATAGTTTCTGATCAAAATGATGACGATAATACCACAAATGAAGAACCCATAACGCTAACTGAGGAAGAAGATAATCTTAGTAATATAGAACCCAGAACGTCACAACATAAAAGACCACAAAGAGATAAAAAGAGACCAGCATGGTTGAAAGATTACAAAGTAGAAAATGATACAGATGAGAGCATGCACGTGACAGAAATGGCTTACCTTGGTGAACACGATGAAAATGATACAGGTTGGCACGATGCTATCAAAGCTGAAATAAAAGCACACATTAAAAACGGAACGTGGACAATAGCAAAGAAAGAAAAAGGTATCAATGAAGTAGATTACAAAATGATATTAAGAATAAAAACGAAAGCAGATAACACTGAAATAAAGAAGGCTAGGTTAGTAGCGCGGGGATTCACACAGCAACCTGGTGTAGATTATACTGAAACATTTGCCCCCGTTGTGAAACTAAGTTCTGTTAGATCAGTCATTAGTTCAGCCATAGAGGATAATCTAAAATTAGATCAAATGGATGTCACTACAGCGTATCTTAATGGAGAGCTAGAAGAAAATATACAAATGAAAATGCTTACTTACTTAGAAAAATATGTAATGGAAATTATGGTTGACGAAAGTAGTCGAAATGATTTAACATTCTTCAATAAGGCTAAACGGATGCTAGAAGATATTAGAAATATTAAAGAAGAAAAAGTTTGCAAGCTTCAAAAGGCTTTATACGGATTAAAACAATCCGGACGCCAATGGTATAAAAAATTAGATGCAGAATTAAAAGATATAGGTTTTGAATCATGTAATGCAGATCCTTGCATATACCTATTGAAGAAAGGAGGAGATAAAATAATAATAACAGTCTATGTTGACGATTTAATTATAGCATATTCAAGTTCAGAAATATTAAAAGAAGTAAAGAAAGCACTAGAGAGAAAGTTCGAAATGAAAGACATCGGAGAGTTGAAATACTGTTTAGGTATAGAATTTAAACAGGATAAAGAAAAAATTACTATGAGTCAAACGAAATACATTAAAGATATCCTTAAGAAATTCTCCATGCAAGATGCAAAACCTGTGGCAACTCCTATGGAGACAGCATTAAAATTAAAGAAAGAAGAACATCCAGATTCGAACTTACCCTATAGAAACTTGATTGGAGCCCTCATGTACCTGTCAGTTGCCACGCGACCAGACATAGCTCATGCTGTTAGCTATCTTGGTCAATTCAATGCGTATTATGGAAAAGAACACTGGGCAGCTGCAAAGCGCGTAATTAGATATTTAAAAGGTACAATAGATTTAAAATTAACATTCCACAAGAATGGAGATAAAATTATAAAGGGTTACGCAGATGCCGACTGGGCATCGTGTCCATTAGATAGACGGTCATATACCGGCCATTGTTTTATAAAGAACGGTGCGGTCATAAGTTGGGAGTCAAGAAAACAAAGGACTGTAGCACTCTCAACGGCGGAAGCCGAGTACATGTCTTTGAGCGAATGTACAAAAGAGGCTGTTCATTTGAAAAATATTCTGACTAATTTGGGTTACTTCAAACAAAAAGGAATTACTATTCACAACGACAATCAAGCCGCACAACAGTTAGCAATGAACCCTATTACGAGTATTAGCGCCAAATCCAAACATATCGATATCCGCCAACATTTTATAAGAGATATGGTGCAACAAAATGTGGTGCAACTTTCATACCTAGGAACAGGGAATATGATAGCGGACATCTTTACAAAAGCTTTGCCTCGTCCTAAATATGAATACTGTCGCCAAGAGCTGGGACTCCTACAGTAGGTAGATACTATGCCGTGAGGAGGAGTGTAAGAAAGAGGTTGTACACGGCCATAGACCTACAGCTCAATTAAATAGAGAAATAAACTGACTTATGTCTTGTCACTAAAATAATCGTTGTAACATTGCACGTAATAAAATATTTAAAATATTAAATAACATTATTGGTCTCCTGTAAAACTCCACATCCATCATATGTCATAGATATTTATATGCAAAAACATGTTAAAATTATGCTTACTCTTGGAAGTGAAGAAAAAAAACGGCCGAAAGTTTTGACCAATATTTCGCCTAAAAAGTAGAATTTCTGGGCGAAACTAGCCGAAACCGAAACCGAAAGTTTGGTCGGACACTAACCATATAATCTGCTTACCATATCAGATGGGGTGTGGTCACTTTAACTAACCCTTATAAAAAAATATTAGACTTGTTTTCACTAACATAATATCGTATCATAAATAGTAAAAAATTAAAGTATCGATAATACAATAAACTATTAAACTATTTATGGCCTGATCAAACAACTGAATAATAAGCAATATTATGAGTTAAATTAGCATAATCTAATATATATCGAAGTGATTTCTCTCTCTGTGATAGATATGCATAGACATTTCCTTATTTTTTGCCCGTCAGTCTCAGTTTTATGAGATCACTTAGAATAAAACATTTGTATGAAATCTATGTAACCAGTTTATGGAATTTAAAAATTTTACTATATAAAGCAGCATTTTTTTTAAATACTTACTTAAATTTAAATTTTTAACAAACTCAAATTCATACAATTTTATTATAATTTATTTATTTTATTATGTAGATACATCCGAATGGTACCACAGAATCATTTTCCAATTTTATCGACATAAAGTATTGGTGATCCCTAAATATTGTAGATAGTGAACGTCAGAATTCGCGTTCTCTAATCTGTGGTTAGATTTTGGTACATTTCTTTATTGTGTTATATCTATCCACGTTTTATTTAATTCTACAAAAAGAAACAATATAAAATGCCTACACCAGATAAAATTTTGATGAGGAAGATTAAAAAAAGGGAGAAAAAGAAAGCTAAACTTACGAGTCTAAAATCGAATTCAGCACCCGACAACATCGCAGGTACCTACGAGCATAACCTATAATACGTTTTTAAACAATATTTATTATAATAAAATATCTTCCTCCAATTATATACAATTACGAATCAAGTCTTGGTGTTTTTATTAATCGTTGTTTATAATATTTTTTTAGAACCCGATCCAGCCGATGTTAAAAAACGTCCACATGAGAATAATGAACATAATGAAAAAACTGTTCCTAAAAGTAAGTCTTACTAATAATACAGTAAAAATAACAGTCAGTGCAATTAGTTTCATATGTAACAATAACTTTGCTAACCTTATTTTTTTTTTTTTCATAGAGAAACGAAAAAAAGAGAAAATTCAAATCGAAGAAGAACCAGTGCAACAGAAGAATGATAATTCAGATGGCAGTAATGAACAGGATGGTTCTGATAGTGAAATAGAAATCAAACCTGACACTGAAGACAGTCAATGTATGTAATTATTGCAAATTAATTAGATTTGTTTTTGTGCAGATTACCTTAAACTTCTTTTTCAAAATCATTGCCACCATTTAAAATTTAAATGTGGTGGTGTTGTGGGTGATCATGGGCGGCAGTAGTCACTTACCATCAGGTGAGCCGCATGCTCGTTTGTCCCCTGTGTTGTAAAAAAAAAATTTAAATTAAGAGCATATTTTTTTGTCCAACCTTACTACATTGCAAAACACTAATGGCTACTGTCAGAAAATGTAAATGACTTTTGAAAATACATAATTAATATTTTTGTAATTAATAAAGGGTTTTACATATTATGTCATTTAAATAACATGATATAAAAAAAGTTATGAACTATAAAAATAATGGATTATATAATGCCTATTTACCCATTATACCATTTCTAAATCTGTAATTAGAGCCGTTAAGAATAAGTCTGGATAATCGGGATTCTACTATACTTATTACTGCTATGTGGTCCCGACATAGAATAGAGCATCTCTTCTTTCCCCATGGATGTCATAAAAGGAGACAGAGTTACTTAATAGTGTCAAGGAATGGGTAACAGCGTCCCTATTAAAACCTCCACCTAAACCTAACTGTTGCCAACTCATCTGCCAACTACAGCAACTATGGGCAAAACACCCCAATATGGGGAGACCTATGCTCAGCAGAGCAGAAGCATTCGATGCTGTGACCACATGGTGATTATTATGAATACAAGAGTATTTATTTGATATTTTTATAACCTTTTATTAATTTATAAAGTAGAACACCTATTTTAGAAATGAGTTCATACAATTAGAGGATATAAAATTGATGGAGAACTTTTTTCTTTTACAGTACCTGGATCCAGTTTATGTCTTGGTATACTATCAGATCAGAAATTTTCATCTTTAGAGAGCAAAGTTTGTGAAGCTACACTCATGGGTATAAAAGATATGGGATTTACTACCATGACAGAAATTCAAGCAAAAGCAATCCCACCATTACTGGAGGGAAGAGATTTAGTTGGAGCAGCAAGAACAGGATCAGGAAAAACACTAGCCTTCCTCATACCTGCTATTGATCTAATTTATAAACTGAAGTTTAAGCCTAGAAATGGTATGTTTCATTATAATAGGTATATAAAAAATACTATCATGTTAAGAACTTTTATATTATTTTATGCAACTTGAAATTGCAAACATTGTACCTTTTCTCACATAGATATATGTACCAAGTATATACTATATCTATATATCTAAAGACTTATAAACTTAACACACATACTTTGAGAATATTCCTTCCTTAACATATTGAATATCTACTAAATCATTCAAAGATGTATGAGAAATGATGACAAAAAGGCGAATATGAAACAACTCCATATTTCCAAATAAGTGTTTATATGAAATCAACAATAAATTGAGTCTCCAGTGAATTCTGTTGAGGCACATTCATTGTTGATATCACATGAATGCTGAAGTTTAAGGAGTATGTTTGAGTAGTTATATGAACACAGAATGGATATCTGATAATCTTATCTCTAAAATAAAAGTAATTTCAGTTAATTCTCAATAAAACGAAATTGACCAATGTTTTAAGGTACGGGCGTGATTATATTGTCTCCTACAAGAGAATTATCCATGCAGACATTTGGAGTGTTGATGGAATTAATGAAATACCACCATCATACTTATGGATTAGTAATGGGTGGCGCTAATAGGAGTACAGAAGCTCAAAAGTTATCTAAAGGTAAGGAAACTAATAATTTATTTTATAAATTTAATGTAGTTCAACATCTATCAATAAAGGTGAAATATTAGGATAGCTGTAATATGATGTAGAGTGCATATAGTATATAATACCACCAGGAACATAAATTCCCAGTTGAATATGATTAAATTTAAATAAATGACATAACATACTATATCAAACACTATATAATACAAAAAACATTTATAATAAATAAAGGAAAAACTTTAATAGTCATTGGTTATATTATACCAAAATTCAAAGAAAATGATAATGAATATTTATTTGAATTATGATATATTAAACTTTTGTTTAATTTATTATACAGTTACTCACAATAATAACTAAGAGAATTTCCAACTAATTTCGGACTTGATAAAATCCCTTATACATGATTGTGGTTTACAGCTATGTTCACAAAATGTATAGCAATTTTCACAAAATTAATATGAACTATGGAGGATATACAAATTTATTTTGATATCCTTACTCTTTCTGTATCACCACATATAATAATTATATTAAATTATATCATTGATAAAGAGTTTTTCACTTGTGCCAACAGGAATCAACATTTTAGTAGCAACTCCGGGTCGACTTCTGGATCATTTGCAAAACACACCAGATTTTCTATACAAAAACCTTCAATGCCTTGTCATCGATGAAGCAGACAGAATACTGGAGATTGGTTTTGAAGAAGAAGTTAAACAAATCATTAAGTTATTGCCAAGTAAGTTATATACAAAATCTTAGATCTTGGGGTCCCGACAGAGTAGAAGTGTGTCCGTCGGCTGACACATATTATGTTTAGCCGGGCAAACAATGGCTATCACCTCCATACCTAAGGAGCCTGGCCTCTTTCTACGCACATCCCCCTGGACGCGACGCGCGCTCTACCTCCTGTGTACAGCAGAACCCACGCAGGGCGACGGTTATCCAGCCCCGCACAACTTGACGACATATTTGTTATTCCCATCCACTTTTTGTTCTTTCGGCTGCTGCTATTTATAATAACACTGGCTTAGCCCTCTGTGTCAAAACTCATTGACGCAAGGGTCTCGCCCTCACAATTGCGGCTCGGGCAAAGAGCATATTGCCCAAGACCCATATTGTGTTGATCCATTGTCAATATCTTTATATACTATTGTATAAGATTTTTTTTTATATTTGCAAGTGGCTCTCCTATATAATAACAATAATCTTCCATAATATATATTTATTTATTTATACATATGTATTTATTTTAGAACGGCGCCAAACAATGTTGTTCAGTGCAACACAAACCAAGAAGACAGAAGCGCTGACTGCACTTGCTGTAAAACATGAACCTGTTTATGTAGGAGTTGATGACCACAGGGAACAAGCTACTGTTGATTCATTGGAACAAGGGTAAGTTAACATTATTAGTATAATATTTTTTTAATCCATATTTAGGAAAGAATTCTAGTAAATCTTGTTATGGAGTAAATAATAAACTCGAATAAGGTTTTGTACTGAATTGACTTCCCTACTTTTAAATAAAAATAAAATAAAATACTGGTCTCGTTATTGTGTATGAAATAATCGTATATATGATTAATATATATAGTTATATATATATAAATAATATTACAACATTGGTATATCTAAATTATAATTGTTTTTTATATATTTATTTATGTAATATATATATTATAAATACTTAGATCAGTGTAAGATATGCATCTGATTATTTCCTTATATTTTATTAACGTAACCATTTATTTTATTAGATACACTTCTTGCGCCAAATAGCTACCGTATTTTTTCTTTTCTCCTCTACCCAAAGATCTGAAAGAAATTGCTTTAGCGATAACACAGACGACATTTCATACTTCATAAGTTTAATATATATAAAGAGTTAATAAATATATTAGTTAATAGCACACATTCCTAACCTGTAAAATACAAATTTTCAGTATTGTAATTAAAACTATAAAAAATTATAGATGCAAAAACTCAAATAAATATTATATGTTAATTAAATTGGATGTTAATTATACAGACTTAGTTTATACTCAAAAATAAAATTTTTGTTTTCACAAATTTATGAATATTTTTGCCTGTGTAATATTTTACACAGAACTTATAGATATTTTTACTTGATTGAATACTAATAATGACATTATTTTAGGTACATTGTCTGCCCATCTGAAAAACGTATGATGGTTCTCTTCACATTCCTAAAGAAGAATAGAAAGAAAAAGGTCATGGTGTTTCTCTCGACCTGCATGTCGGTTAAATACCACCATGAATTATTCAACTATATTGATTTACCTGTCATGTCTATACATGTAAGTATATCCACACACAACTGTTGCGCTCTCACATTAGCCACATAAAACATATTCATACAACATGTACTTTATGTGAAGATGGAGTATACATAAATATTACTATCCACTTCATCCCCAGGATGTCGTAAAAGGCGACTATGGCAACTAAGCGCTATACAGCAATGCACAAAAAAATCATTGATCCCCTTTATAAAACACCTGACAATAATATTAGATAATACCATCTTATTACCGTGTGGTCCTGGCATAGAATGAACCAAATCATCCTTTCCCGTGTATGTCGTAAGAGGCGACTAAGGGAACTTAATGGCCGAGGTACAGGCAGCAGCATCTCTCTTAATCACTACCTAAACCTAACTTCAGTTACCAAGCAGGGCTACTAGGCTACTACTGGCAAAACCACTGTTATTGGGGAAGCTTATATCAATAGTGGACATTTAATGGCTGATGTGATTGATTGATTAATTGATACCCTCTTATAATGAGAGACCCATGTTCATCAATAGGATACTATTGATATGATATTACAAGTTGTAATAATGTTTGTGTGATCTTTTGCATGGGACTGAACATAATGGATATATGAAAATGAATACATGAAAATATAAGTACATCTATGAAAAATCTCAAACCTATTTTCATATTTTTTGGGGACGTAAATATGCTAAAGAACAAACTAAGTACACATTAATTCAATCGAACATAAAAAAAATGTTTTAATTTCAAGGGTAAACAACAACAGACAAAGCGCACCACAACATTCTTTCAATTCTGCAATGCAGAATCTGGCATTCTACTATGCACCGATGTAGCCGCTCGAGGGCTAGACATCCCTGCCGTCGACTGGATTGTACAATATGATCCACCAGATGATCCAAAGGTAAAATTTATGTAGAAGAATAACAATTTATTAATTTCTACCTTTTACCAGTATCTTCAAGTGATCGAAATCTGTGAGATTTTTTGCATGCAATAGTGGATATATGAAAAATAGTTCGTGTGTTAAATACCATTTTGTCGCAATGCTAATGTCGATTTTCGTAATTTTCGAATGCATTATTTTTAATAATCGCTTGTATATTGAATATAAATATAGAAGTAAACTGTATCAATATTTACCTTTATATACAATAACCGCAACAATTTTACTTTTTTTATAGGAATACATCCATAGAGTAGGAAGAACAGCGAGAGGGCTCGGAACGAGTGGTCATGCTCTATTATTTTTACGTCCTGAAGAACTAGGCTTTCTACGATTTTTGAAACAATCAAAAGTTACCCTTAATGAATTTGAATTCTCTTGGAACAAAGTGGCTGATATACAATTGCAGGTTTGATTTATACTTTTCTATCCTTTTATTTTATTGTTTAAAACTTCATAAAATTCCCATTATTGTACCTACCATAGATCAAACCTAACCTATATATATGTATATTTTTTTTTCTTCGCACAAATCAGCATTGTTTTCACCGTTTTTCAACTTTGAAATGGTTTCCGCCTTTTCTTTAACAGTGAAAGTGCGTCGAGGCGACTGCCTAATGATAATAATGAGGATAAGTATGACTATACTTATCCAAAATTTACTAAACTTAAGGTTTGATCTGAATATGACTTGTTTATTATTTGAAAACTAATACTTTAATGAAGAAATTTCTAATAAGTGCAACAATGAACTCTATTCTATGGTACCATCATTGAGTATTTAAGGTTATTTTTCGGAGGGAGCCTGGTTTCTTAAAAATGCCGTATATGTACTCTCAGACATGTCTTCGTAAAGCATCGATCCCATCCTAAGGTATACACCACACAATTCTGAGATAGACACGATAGATGGATATTATTATTATTCTTTTGATATCATATCAGTTTTAAGGATCATAACATACACACGAAATAATTTAAAGTGGAAACTTCCTCTCCCTTTTGAAGTGTTTGAAATACGCTCACGTCATCTGCACATCTTTTCAGTGGGCTTATAAACAAAACTACTTTGGCGACTTATTATTATATTGTTTAATAAAATTATTACTAATCTCGACATTTCGATTTCAGCAATTAGTAAAATTACATTATGACAATACAAAATAATACTTGTAAGCAAATTAATTTGATTAAAAATTATCTTTTGCAGCTGGAGAAATTAATATCAAGGAACTACTTCCTCAATCAGTCTGCTAAGGAAGCATTCAAGAGTTATTTAAGAGCTTACGACTCGCACCACCTTAAGACAATATTTGATATCGATACAATTGATTTGGCTAAAGTTGCAAAATCATTCGGTTTCACAGTACCTCCAGCTGTAGAACTGAAAGTAACCAATAAGGGGCCACCATCCAAGAGGAAAGGAGGAGGCGGTTACGGATACTTCAAAACTCTTAACGCCCCCAACAATCATAAAAAAACGGAAAAAACAAAAATCTACAGGCAAAAGGGTGGGAACAAACGTTCTATAAGTTAAATTATATTATTCAATAAAACACTTGTTTAAATAATATATATAAATGGTTTGTTTTAATAATATAAAAATCTTGTAATTTTTCTATCGTATTATAAAAGAATATACTATGAATTCATATAACAATACAATTGTTGAATATCACATTGTCTATGAATAGATAGTATAGAAGAGGTACAGGAATGACCTAGGCAGAAAAAGGTTAACACGATTTTCCTTACAGACATAAAAAATCAATACTTTCTGTGCTTACTAACGAACGAACTTATATCACGTGATACTGTACACACAGACACTAAAGCTCAGTTAAATTACATAATAATAATAATATTGTGTATTAAGTTTTATACTTAATACACAATAAAAGCACTAAAGTATAAAAAATGCTCTATCATATTCTTGTCACTCTATCTAAAACTGGTGTATGAATAGCAAAAGTCGATTTTAACAATGTTAAAAATAAGAATAAAATCATAGATTAAAATTAGTACCTGCCGTCTCAATTCTACAGAATAAGATGCACCAAGTCTGCACCTTACACAATAGTATAATTTTTAAGCAATGTGATTGGTAAGTTTATTATTGGATATGTGACATACGCCCTCCAACCTCCGTAAATGTAAACATAATAACAGTAATTCAAGAACTGATAAGTAAATTAGCATTGCATAACAGGTACTCTACTTTTTTTAAGTCATAGATATTACTAATAACTTTAGATAAACTTGTGAATTTTTAGGCACTACTTGGAACACGGTATCTTAGTAAGAGTAGACATTTTAGTGTCAATAAAAAGCATTCAACATTGTTATTTTCATTACTTGATTTATTTTTGGGTGATAATTACAGATATAAATAGATATCACAAATTAACACTGCGTATAAATGACATTGAATTAGATTCTTATTGGCGCTGGTAACATTTTGGTTCGGAGTTTCTAAATAAAATTTATATAAATATAAGAATTGATGAAGACAGATCATTAGAGATATTAATAGGTATTTTCCGATATAATAAATAACTTGTGATATCAAAGCGTCTAGTATAGTAGTGACAGTTTTCATGTGACAGATACTTGTTATTGTGAAGAAATGCCATGTTTTGGATGGCCAATTTTACTATCGTCATCATCATTATTATAAACTATCCAATGTCCACTACTGATGATCTCCCTCATATTACGCCACAAAGTGCGATCCTGCGCAACTTACATCCAACGACTCTTGATATCGTCATTCCATTTCACAGACGGTCGCCCCACACTACACTTGCCTACATTTTTATTATACTGTGTATACAATTAAGGAAACTAAATAGCATAAATGTGCTCGTAGATTAGATATTGAAATAATAATAACAGTCTCCAGGGAGGCTTCTGTAAATGGCGAATAAACTCTATTTACCTAAAAAAAAACGACATGCGATATCCGATCGCCTTCTTTTACAGGTGTGTGGTAACCAAACATATCCATATAAAAAAAAGAATAATATATTTCATAACTAGTTCCCGACAAACTCAACGGAAATTTATGAGCAAGAGAACATGTTTTTCATCAACATGATTCAAGTTTTTTTTTTTTATTTAGCCTTTTGCCAATTATCCGGTGATAGTAACATCGTTAACAAACCTAATTAATCAAAGTTGCGTTACAAAAATTATGCAAATTATAATTATCAAAAGGTATCATTTAAAGGACACAAATTGGTGAAAATTAAACTACATATTGTTATTTCTGGAAATCCCACGTAGAAAATGTTAACAGGAAAATGTCTGGCAATTATTATGACTTATCTGTATTATAATAATCGATGTGCGTCGCATGTAATGTAATGATGCAATACATAATAAATATTATTTCTATATATGAAATCTCTTCAATTACTTTATAAATTTTGATATGAAATTATTTTTTGAGTCAATTAATATCAACAATTAAATTGCAAAAAGAGATGTTCAGTTATAGCATAAATAACAAACACTACTAAAGTATTTCAAAGGATACAAAAATCAACGTCGGGCTGCTCCTGAAACCCAAAAGATTTTGCCGCCATCTTTAAATCCAATGTTTTAATGTTAAAAATCTTCTTTAATGGATGACATTTGTAACATCTCAGGTAAGAGAGAAATGCTTGTCTTGCTAATTTTTTTACGACTCCATTCTTAAGTATTATGTCTTCTAACTGCAAAATAATATTTGATATATTAAAAAAAAAAAGAATTAAACATTATACTTGTTAAATAATTTTTAATACTTAATTATTGCTTCTTACCATTTCTTGTACTTCCACGGCAGGGTCACAATAATTATACTTATCTAAATAAACCTTTTCTTTATGCAAGAAGTTTATAAATTCTTCTTCCTCGGGTCTAAGAACTATAACTGCATTCCCTTTTGTATTTAATCCTCTAGCAGTGCGGCCAACTCTATGAATATATTCCTAAAAAATGTAATAACTTAAGATATTTATATCTCAAAAGAATACAAATATTTACCTAAATAAAATTACAGATAAACTAATTATATTATTATATTGTAGCCAGGAGCATATAAACGCCAATGTACAATAAATAATATAAACTCATTTAAAAATTATATTAAATAAATATAAATAATCATAATTGTTTTTACTTTCGGATCCGTTGGTGGGTCATACTGAACAATCCAATCTACACAAGGAATATCTAATCCTCTAGCAGCAACATCTGTACAAAACAGTGTACAATGTGTGGCCTCAACAAATATCTGAAATGATTCCTTCCTTTTTGCTTGTGTTTGTTTTCCCTAAAATCATAAATAAAATATATGGTTATATTTTAAATGAACTGGATCCTCAAACAACTGGAAATGTTAGGAAGAGAAAAGCATCTGATTTATGGTATTATTCATACTAATGACAGGTCATTTTCATATCCATAAACAATGGTGACTACTTTTCATCAGGTAGGCAGCCAGCATGTTTGCCATTCCATGGTGCATAAATAAGATCACTTTGAGGACTGACAAATTTTTAACATTAAATTTGAGGATATTTGATAATAATTTCACGTGATACGTAATGCTGTAAGATGATACTAAAGTGTTACACGCAATTGTGGCCGACATCATATATTTAGTCATAAATATGCTCTACGATGTCAATACCTGTAATAGATACTTAAATCAGAAAAAGAACATTTAAATTTTTCGTTAGGTTTTAAAAGTATAAAATATATCGAAGCTTATGCTATGAAGCAAAGCAGTCCAAACGACTTACGTGTGAAGCCAATACAAACCACAAAATAGATTGAAAGATCACAAAAACAAATAATTTAATTTTGTGAAAAAAAATACCATTGATTAATAATACAGAATTATTTTAAAAGGAAAACGTTAGTGTATATTGTAGACCAAGAACACGACGCAAACTACACATATATAAGCAGTACTTTAGACAGCTTTGACATAAAGTATAACAACATTTAAAAATAATAAAGCAATCTCTTACATGTATTTTTAAAACAGATGCTTTGCAATGTGTTTTAAAAAATTCATAATGGAAATCCACAGATTTACAAGAGGAGAAGAAGACCATAACTTTCAACTTTTTAGTTTTCTTTAGCATTTTATATAGCCAAGGTATCCTATATTCCAATGGACATATACAGTATCTGAAAGAAAAATTTATACAATTTTAATAGTATAATCAGATTATAGAAAACCAGTGAGGAGTCATAACACAATAAATATAAAGAGATGATAAAAATTACTGTACTGATTACATTATATATTATTATTATATTGAACAGCTCAAACTATGCTAATAAAATAAAAATCACTATATATCTATAATCTCTTTTAAAAATAAAAATATTATGCATATGTATTACCCCTGTTGCAACCCTGTAACAGTAGATTGTTTATCTTTCACTGATATCAGTACCGGGTCACTTCTGAGTGCTAGCCGTGCAAGATTCTCCACCTTGTTATCAATTGTTGCACTAAATAATATTGTTTGTCTGCTTTCTAGAAAAAAAAGTAGTATGTTTAATATTAAAAAAATAAATACAACAATGTGTAAATATGTTCATGTAACATGTAAATATAATGTATAACAATTTGATAGATTTTCAATGCACTGTACAAGTTATTGGTTAACTGCTAGATAGACAAAAAAATTCAAAAAATTTAAAGTTGCAATTTTAGATCATAATAAAATGTGCCCTAGGACTGTTTTTTGCTATTTGTAAAAGTTTTGGATGATAATATTAAATTCACAACCAACTTCTATACTTCTTACTATTTAAACCTTATGAATTAACATAAAGAACGTCTTTAGAATTCAATTACAAAAAGTAATGGACATAAATAGTTGAATAAAATATTTTTATTTTGATTATAAATCTTATTTTCTAAAAAAAATAATAATAATTATATATACTAATAATGAAAAGAAATGTCTATTGTAATATAATCTAAAATACTTACTTGGCAGCAAATTAATAATTCCACTAATGTGTTTCTCAAATCCTGCTTCCAGTAATTTATCAGCTTCATCAAGTACTAAACATTTTAAGTTATCACAGTTAAACTTGTCATTATTTTGTAAATGATCCCAGAGACGACCTGGGGTACTCACAACAATATTAGCTCCTATAATAAATAATAAACAATTTTATTTACTAGTTTTTACCCATATAGTTGGAATATGTTGATCAACATCTTGTCCTTTTCCATCCGTAAATTTTATAATTAGGTTTACAAGGTTTAGTCAAGTGGATAGAAAAGTTTATAAATAAATATTGTCAATCCATATAAAGAAAATCAGGTACCAAAAGGTGATATATAAACACACTATATCTTTCATTTTAATAATTTTACTCATTTAATTATTTACTAATTGAAGTATTTTTAATTGACAGATTAGAAATATGTATACAAAATGAATTATGGTCATTCTATTGGTTTAACTATCAGCTACTCAATGCAATACATATAAATAATTTTATAAAAAAGATAAGGATATAGGATTTTTATAAGCATACCTTTCTTTAGCATTCGTATGTCTTTTGACTTCTTTTCTCCTCCAACTATTAAACAATGTGATAAGGCAATATTTTTTAGTAGTTTTTTGAGAACTTCATTTGTCTGCAGGGCTAATTCTCTTGTTGGTGAAATTATTATACAGCCAGTACCTATAAATATCTTTATATTATCATGTTTTATCATCCATTTATAAAATTATACATTTTATGAATATATATAATTTCTATCTAAGACACCATATAAATGAAACATTATCAATAAACACCATAATTTATTGATGATGTTTCATCCATGTAATACACATCCCACATCCATCCAACCATTTAATAATGATTGTGTAAAAAACAAGTAATTATTTTTACAATTTTTACATTTATAATATCAGTAGGAATAGGGTCAGTGGATACTCTTAGTTTTATTTTTAAAACAAGATGGGTTTACACTTGACCTTACCTGATGGTAAGTAATTATATAATAAGAGAAAACAAAAATCTTTTCAGTAACATGTAAATTAGTGCTATTATCATAAAATAACATTCTTTTTTATTATATAAATTAATTAGTACAGAAAGTAAGAAATAATAAGAAATACGATATAATATGACACAATATAACTACTTAATAGAAATTAATAAACAAAGAACTATTTATGGTGTTTTTAAACAAACTGACGGCCCACCTGATTGAAAGAAGTAACCGTTGCCTATAGACATGAACAATACCATGAATATAACAGAATACACTGTCACATTACATACTGTTAATAAATTCAAATTGAATTAAAAGTTACCGTTTTTTCCATTATATCCTAATTTTATTAGTCGGTCAATAACAGGAATAAGAAATGCTAATGTTTTCCCACTGCCAGTCTTCGCTGCACCTATTAAATCTTTACCAACAAGTAAATGTGGTAAAGATTGGACCTGAATCCTTGTGGGTTTATCAAATCCTAAACTTTTTATAACCTCTAACAACCGTGAATCTATTTTGCCTTCTAGCATGGCAAAATTGCACTGCGATATTATTTCCTCCATAGTCATTACTTTTAATTTTCGACTAAATAATAAAGAAATTGGCTAGTCTTAATACTATTAAAATCAAAACGAATTATTTTATCCATATGAAAATGAAAACAGTATATGACAGCTGACTAACCAACAAACAACCAAATTAATAAAATGACATTTGGGTGCATTTGGCAAACTGCGTTTAGTTCCATGTTGATATTATTCAATTTGTTTACTTATATTTAGCTACTAAGACAATTTCTTTTTTTATTATACCAATAGAAATAAAGCCAGCTAACCAAACTGGTAGTGTTCTGTGGTGCTTAAGTTCTTTATACTGTGGTAGTTAGATGAATTTTTATTTTTACCGATTTCAAAAAAAAGAAGTCTTTACATTTTAATAAAAATGAGATATATATATACTTTTTGTCTGCTAATTATTAAATGAGCTGACCTGTTTTCTTTATCAGTATTCTATATACTTATGCATAAAATATATCTTCATGTATTATTTAATAATTAAACTATGTGTTTACGCATTAAAAAGATGCAGTAATTTTAAGACAAAATAAATATAGAATAAATATAAAGGAAACGCTCATAACTATTTATCACGCAAAATTGTATGAAAAAGTTAACTCATTTTTCTTGAAGCATTTTTATGAAGACACTATCTATATAATCAAAGACCTCGGCCTATACTGTACTACATACTATTGGAAATAAAAGTGGGTAAATAATAATAAGAGATAGGCACTAGTATTACTTAGATTAAATAAGGTAAAATAAATTCTCATTATCGTTATTTTATAAGATATATTTCAGTAAGAAGTATACGACTCGCCTAAGATAAGCATTTAAGGGCACTTGCAACACTGGGGGTCACGTGTATACTGTTGATTATTGCTTAATTTTGATATGTGTAAGGAAATACTAATTTGTATATCAGTGTACACTTGTCTACCACATAAATTCTTATATTTTTGCTAGCTCAATTTGATAATCAGCATGTTCCAAGTTCATTCTTTTAAAATACTTAAGCAAATACATATTTTTTATATGTACGGCAATAATTTAAAATAATATATTCATAAAATTGCTCTATAGACTTACTAAATAATGTGTAACATTAATTACTTTTGCACTAGTTTAGCTTTTATTCAGAATTTTGTCTGCATAATTAGTACAAGTCTTATATTATCTGCCAACAGGATAAAAAACTGCCTATTCTCCATACCCATAAAGTATGTGTATAGCAAATTTCATAGTAATTTGTCGTTTAACAATGTTTTTTTTTTAAATTATTTTAAAAAATTGGTTAACAAACAAACTCATTTTCACATTTATAAGAATTGAATGTTTTTGTCTAAATTTTAAAATCACTAATTTTGGTGAAAACAAATGCTCAGATGGTCTTCTAAATATACCAAGAATAAAAAGTATATACACAGAACTCAATTTGTGTATCATTTTATTATTAAGTTCTATTTGGCTTTTTTTTTAATCGAATGTTTTTCTTATAATATGGATTGCTGCTCATACATATGCACTAAATGAAGGAAAACAAATTAATCAAAAACAATTTAATTAATCACACAATGTTTTGTTCACATTATTTTAAATCTTGTAATTCAACTAAAACAGCCTTCGATTCAGGAATGTTGGAACAAAATGTTACATTGTTACATATCAGTCTTCAAAACATTGATGGCTATTACAGATATTATGAAATAAAGTAATAAGAAAATAACTGCCACATTTTCTTTATTTTTTTTTCTATTGCTACATAAATTATTTTCTACTTAAACTACTTTATTATGAGAAAAAATACTATGAAAAACAATAGGTATAAAATTTTAGGATTCACTATATTTAGTGTTGTGACATTATTTTCTGTAGTGAAAAACTATATTATATATGACTGATTTGTTAATAACTTAATTTTATTTGTAATCACATAGAGGTGTGAAAAGTGTACACTTCATAGTTCATCATGTTGCTGTTGTGCTGTGTTTGACCCATCACAAGCAGCTGGTGTACTGAGATCTATTTTATATTCACACCGGTATGGTTCAGTGACAGACAACAGTTTAGTTTCTAATCCACAGTGTACATTAACAACTGTTAATCTGTTGGGGCCATTCCAGCAGGCTACACCATTAGTATACTTCATCACAGAATATTTGTTATCATCACCAGCCCATTCACCCCAGTTTCCAAGTCCAATTTCAGAGCCACTGTTCTTTGATTTCTGTGTTACCTTTTGGAACATACATAGTTTGTAAACATATTCTTTATCTTCATATTCAAAGCACTGTCCATCTAATGTAGCAAACTCTTGCTGTAAACCATAATCTTTTTCCAGGTTTTGTTGAATATTTCTGATATTTGAATCTATTTCTCTAACAGTTCTTTCGGCATCGCTGAATTGTTTTCGGGCCTCTGTGGCTTCATTGATCAACTTCTGAGTCTCTTCATCATATTTGCTAGTTGTATCTGATTCTATTTCATGTTCCTCATTATCATCAATGGACAAATCGGCATCTAAATTATCATCTTCAGATCCTTGATCTTCATTATCTAAATCATGGTTGGCTTCTTCGTCAGTATCATGGTCAGATTCCTCATTGTCTTGCATAGGACGGAACATACCCTGTTCCATCATTAACAAAGGTTTCAACAATGGCCAAGTTTTTGTAACAAATGATTCCTTATCTACATTTTCACTATCTCCAAAGAAATATTTTATTTCCTCTTCATCAACCTGCCCATCTTTATTCTTATCAAAAACATTTGCAGTTGCAATTTCATCAGATGTTAACAAACCATCATTATTGGAATCAAACCTTTCAAATTGCTCTATGGACTCCTTTCTTGATTTCTCTTTTTCCTCCTCGGCTTTTTTCTGCTTCTCTTTTTCCTCTGCTTCTCTATAAACTTTTAGAGCCTCATTTTCCTTATTCTCAATTTCATTTTTTATAGACTCTTTTTCTAATTTTATTTTCTCTGCATCTGCCTTATCTCTTTCTAACTGTGATAATTGTTCAGCCATTTCATTTCGCTTTTTATTTCCTTTCTCTATGAGTTCTTGTCTTAAATGACTACCAGCTTTATGTAGCTCTGCTAACCTCTGTGCCTCGGCTCTTGCTTCTTTTCCAAGTTCCTCACATGTATTTGCACAGGAATTAGGTACGGCATACTCATCAGTACCATCGCAACAATCGCAAACTCCGTCGTTGACCCGGGAACTTGGAATATTTTGGGGCCGATGACCAGCATTTGTACAATGAAATATACCGTTTAGACAAGCCGATGTACCTGGCTCGTCGCTTCCGTCGAAGCAGTCACAGTAATCGTCATTCACATAACTAAAAGGTAATGTAACAGTCCCATCGAAACACGTAAAATCTTTATTCGGCGAATACAACGATGCTTTAGATAAAGACACTCCGCGGGGTCTTGGAACATCAGATTGCACGTATATTACAAAAGAACTTAGAATCAATAGGACTGAATTTAATCCATTGTCCCATTTGGAATAAAACTTCATGATTTTAGATGTCTATTTAAACACCGGCCACTAAAATTAATACAAGTCGCACGTAGTCGTACGTAGCGATAGCGAACGTGTAGACAAAAATGACAAATAGGAATGACAATCTGTCTACTAGTTCAGTGTGAGCAAAGATATAGAAGAATGTAGCTTTTTTTACTATAGGATATTTGAAAATTCTAATGAAAATATTTTACATATAGTTTTTTTTTTTATTTTGTATAAAGATAATTTTAATTTAATGTAAACGTACAAGATGTGACCATATTTTTAATAGAGGCATTATAAGATGTACGTTAATGAAATATATATTTTATAGTTAGGGACTTCAAATGTCTATTTTTCACAATTTATTTATTTATTTCTCTCACAAAATGACAACATAATAAAGTTTACAGTTATATAGGTTACAATTTAAAAAAAAATAAAACCTGTAAATTATATAGTTACCGCTTTTCTTATTATATATATATAATTAGTAATAAGAGGACGAAAGATATACCATCAGTTACTATTTTTGTTAATTCATAGCAGGTTAGTGTATAGAAAATGTTATACGGCTGTATAACCCTACCATATTTAAATACAACTTGTTTGCATACTTTCTACATAAACTGTCTATAATCTAGTAATGTAAAAGAACAAAAAATTTTATATACACATATTCTATACACTAGCCTTCTATGGATTAACAAAAACAGCAACTGATAATATATCTTTAGTCCTTTTTTTACTGATTATATTTGCATAAGAAGAAAGGAGGCAACCATATGATTTACAGTTTTTATTTTATCATTCCTTCTACGTAATTGTTTTTAGGGAAACAGTAATAACGGGTATAAACCGGCAGTCGGCACTGCCTAATTTATTTATGTAGTTCGAAAATGAATCTATACAACCATTTAGAAACATCAACATAATATGTAAAATGAATTGATATTCATGCTTTTGTACTACTATTCATAATAAACCTAATAAATGTTTCTGTCTATATTGATACTTTTCAATATCGATTGTATCATACATAATTAAAAGTTTTCATATTGTAAAATTTTAAAATTCAATGAACTACTTACATAGATTTGTTACAAACGTTTTTTGTTAGATGTGACCTTCCCCTACACTCATTTACTTGTGGTATTGATCTATTTTGTTTTGTGTTTTGTATTTCGATTAAATATATAATTGAAAATATTTGAAACAAGTTCCTTGAATGAATTAATCATATAAAGTCCCCTATACTATATATTTGAATCAAAAACCTAACTTTTTTGACTAGGATCATTGGGTTTTCGTGTACGTTCTTATAATTTTAAAATATGGAAACCATCTTAGAACAGCAAAGAAGCTATCATGAAGAGAGGGAACGTACCATGGATGCCATGGTTAAAGAAATTTTACATAAGAAAACTGGCGTAAGCGTACCTACATTTTAATTTTTTAAGAATTTCACTTGTATATTGTTCTCTAAAAGTACTAATAGGTTATATTTTGAAGTTAATCAAAAACCTTTTTAAATACTAATAATAATGTATTGTTTTAGCATCGTGAAACAATAAACGGCGATCATCGTCTAAAAAATCTACATGACGTACGTATTTTTTTTAAATACATAAACTATGTTAACCAAGAATGTTTGAAAATAGATTCATTCTGACAATGTTACTTTGTAGTGATATTTACTGGTATCTTACATTTTATAAGTTATAATATAGACTTCTCGGGGGGAAAGGGATTGTTAGAAATGGAGTTTGACAGCCCCATTGTTAGCAATATGCCCTATTAGGTCGACCTCCACATGGTTTCCCCCGGGAAACCATCATGAACAATTAACTTGCTTAGCTAACTGACCTGCTTCATCCTCACCTATCATTCTTCACTGGTGCCCTTCCGTTGTATACCAATAGAGCGGGTGGGGTTACCATTCCATTATCACCTATTAAAAAAAGTATTTAGACTTCCCATACCTGATTTGAATACCTTCCCAACCTAGAATTAATCATTAAATTAACCTAAGTGAAAACAATTTACATTTACAGAAACTCGGACATGAATCATGACCAGCTATATAATTTTGGTTGTTGTAAAATGGAAATTTAAAGATTTTTTTATTAAAAGTATTTTGATCTGCCAAGAAACCAATTAACAAATCTAACTCAGCTGGGCAGAGTTTGGAAAATTATGACAAATCTTTTCATCTAAAGTAATTCAGAGTTTGAAGACGAAGGTCTTAAATTAGTGCATGTTGCCAGTGATGATTTATGGAACCAAAACATGGTTCTCTATAATTGCTCATATGAAAAAACTTCAAATTATTTAGTGAGCTATGAAGAGGGCTATGCTTAAATCTCTTTGTGTGATAGAATCTGAAATGAGGATATCCCAAAAGAACCAAAATCACTGACATAGCCTGAAGGATAAGCAATCTGAAGTGATTGCCACTTCTTCACAAGACTGTTTATCCTTCAGGCTGGTCACATAGCTTGAAAATACCTCAACTGATGGGGAAGAAAAGTTCTTGAGTGGTGACCTTATACAGGCAAACAGTGTAGGATGATCCCCCACTAAATGGAGTGACAACCTGAAATGCATTGCAGAGAGTCAGTGGATGCAAGTGGCGTGGTGGTGGAATTGATGTTATCCACTACTACATATATATATTTTTTTTTTAATGGGTGAACTAGGATGAACCATGTGGAGGTCAACTTGATAGGGTATATTGCTAGCAATGGGGCTGTCAAACCCTATTACTAACAATCCCTTTCTCCCCAATATTATACTTAGCCACAGGAAATAGCTGTTTATATCACATTAAGCATGCATGTGCTATTGGATTATGTTTAATTTCTACTTAATGTTTGTTTTAATTTTAGAGATATGTAGAAGCAACAATAAGGCTCAAAGATTTGTATGAGGATAAAGATAGTCTTCGAAAAGAGGAAATAGCTGCATTGTCAGGACCTAATGAGTTTCAAGAATTCTATTCTAGACTAAAACAAATAAAAGAATTTCATCGGAAACATCCTAATGAGGTAAGTTTTTTAAAAGGTAGGAAAGTTTTATATGATTTTATTATTATTTTGTATACAACATGGAATGGCAAATGGGCTGATGCTCCATTGCATGAAAAATGATAATTGTTGTTTATAGACATGAATTAGACTCCCTTGCTAACAAATTGTTAAACTAATCGTCACATACATTGTTTAAGTGCAGTAAAGAATATATATTATATATAACATGTTTTGTTATTAGCATCATAGAACAAAAGTCTTTTAATATAAGGCTGTATCCCCACTATAATGCCAGTCTTTATGTGTTCTTTCTCTTCTCTTGGTACAATCAGTACACATAGTTCAAGATTAATTAGAATAGGATTGTATTGTAGTTTGAATACACATTTATTTCTTACATAATTATATTTTACCAGACAGAAAGTGAACAAAACCAGCATCATAGTGTGGCTTAGACCTGATATTACTGCTAATACTGTAAATATTTTTCAGATTTGTGTGCCAATGTCTGTAGAATTTGAAGAGTTGACAAAATTAAGAGAAAATCCAGCAGAAGATTATACAAGTGAGTATTTTGTCTATTACAAACATTGATTTACCTGTAAATCTAGAATTTAAACATAATAGCATGTAAGTGTATTAGAATTTCATCTGTAGAAATTTTCAGTTCATGTTAAAATGCCTAATAATTCAATCCCTGGAGAGTGACATTACAATAAAACAAATAAATACAGTGCCTTTTCAAAGGAATTTTCTCCTGTGAATGCTCAGGCTGTGGAATGAGTTCCCTGCTGAGGTTTTCTCTAGAGACATATAGGGTTTTTCAAAAAGGGTATATTAAGGTTTCTTCAGGGACGGCAATAAACATATAAGACCAGACCCTTAGTGTTGCAGGCATCTATAGGCTACAGTAACCACTTACCATCAGATGGGCTGTTTGCCACATTCATGGTAAAAAAAAAAAAAAAACAATTTCTTAGCAGTAGTTTATAAACATGTGTATTATATATTATTACAGCACCTGTTGAGTTTACTGATGAAGAAGGTTATGGAAAATATCTAGATCTCCATGAATGCTATGAAAAATATATTAACTTAAAAGGTATTGAGGTAAGAGACTGTTTTTTATTTTTATAATATAATACTTATTACTTTGTGGTTTCCTGAAGTATTAAAGTACGTTATATATTCTGGGTATTTTTGTCTTAATTTTATGAACTTTTGATCATCTTTCATTAAAATTTTCTTTTCATTTATGTTGTTTGGCATATAGATATTGTTTAATTTAATCTTGCATTTTTCAGAAAGTGGACTACATAACTTACCTAAGTATTTTTGATCATTTATTTGACATTCCAAGGGAGCGCAAGAATAGTGAGTACAGAAATTACATTCGTGCTTTGCTGACATACTTGAAGGACTTTGTTAGCAGAGTAAAGCCACTTCTTGATCAGGCTCAAGAAATGGCTGCTGCCCATCAAGATTTTGTCAAACAATGGGAGCTTGGTACATTTCCTGGATGGCCAGTAAGTTTTTGATTTTTTAATTTTAACATTATCTGTAATTTTGTTATCTAATTACAGATAAGGTTAAGCTGTTCAAAAATGTTTTAAATTGTTTTTATAGAAAAAAATATATGAGCAGAGAGTACTAAATCATGCTTTTCTGCTTACCTGTAATTGAATATTTAATTTTTCTTCTTTATTTTCAATCAATCGACATTCATTTGACAATCAATATTGATTATTCATCACAAAACAAAATACACAAATCTTAGATTTATTTATTATAATATATATATTTATATATACATAATTTTAGTGTATATATATATATTATAATATATATATATATATATATATATATATATATATATATATATATATATATATATATATATATATATATATATATATATATACATATATATTATAATAGTGAATATTAAAATAGTTAAATATGTTTACAGAAAGAAACTGGTGGCGCCTTGACTAATGTGGGTGCCCATTTAGACTTGTCAGCATTTTCATCATGGGAAGAATTGGCTTCACTTGGGCTCGATAGATTAAAATCTGCTCTTATGGCTTTGGGTCTTAAGTGTGGTGGAACTTTGGAGGAAAGAGCACAGAGGTATAAAAAAATAATGTTGTTGCATGCAGTTCTTTTCATAATTTTAGTTTTAATACATTTTAACCTTTTTTTGTAGTAATAGCTTTTATATAGAATATATTATTTATTGCACATATAAATTATAAAGATAATACATTTATAAATATTGTGAATAAAAGTGGACTTATCTCTGAAAGAGATCTCTTCCAGTCAACCCCGTACAGTGAGAAAGCATGTTGTTAGTGAGCAGCTAAAGTGCGTGAGTGCTGAATAAACAACGTTAATATATAAGCTACAAATAAACAGTTGAATGAAATATTAATATATATTATAATATTACATAAATATAATCCTTACCCACTTATACAGTTAATGTTAAAATAAATTAATATACTAACATAATAGGAATATAATATACATTAGAAATTTAGTTTAACGGTTTTAAGATATGACACTTAAAATTGTAATATTAAAATGTCAAAAAAGGAATTTTGAACATCTTAGACTGAACCTGACAGCATTTTTATTTTCTTATTATAGCAGGAAGAAAAAAATGTTTTGCTATGATAATATATAAATGTATATAATAAAGAGCACCTTATCTTCTGTTTACAAATTACATTTAAATGTATAATATTTTTCTAGATTATTCAGTACAAAAGGTCAAACAGCTTTGGATAAATCTTTGGTAGCCAAGAAAGGTGGAAATAAAGCAAAGGCATCAACTCAACAGAGACATAAAGATATTGCTGCTATTGAAGCTCAAGTTTACAGGTAAATTTAAAAAAAATATTTGTTCATCAGCCTAGAAACTGACGAAAGAGGGTGCTTCATTTTGTCTGTTAAATTGCAGTCTTAAACTACTATAATTTATTCTTATAGATTTGCAAATATAGTAAGCAGTACTCGCGCAGCTACTATCGAGAATGTAACCCGTAGAGCAGCTCGGGCGGCTGGTGAACGCCGCGATGATAGCGGTGATGAAAGCGATGCTTCCGCCGCTGTAGACGTCGATTCTGATGATGATGAAGTACCGTATAATCCAAAGAACTTACCTCTGGGTTGGGATGGCAAGGTAAATTTATGTCTGTGCTCATAGCCATGTGTATATTACTGCTATTGTATTAGGTGCAGCGTTAGGTTGTTTGCTTTTTTAAGTTGATTAAAAAAATGTATTTCTGTTATTATATGAGTGGTATTTTCATATACTTTATTTATTATATTGTAGAAATACCCAAAAAAGGTGGGTTAAAAAAGATTATAGTGTTGGTTATAATATTGACTATGTATTTTCTTAATACTACTTTTTTTTCAAACTTATTGTTCTTTTTAATTTTTAGATTTTTTTTTTATAATTTCACACAATTTTTTACAGCCAATACCATACTGGTTATACAAACTACATGGTCTCAATATTAGCTACACATGTGAAATCTGTGGAAACTACACATATAAGGGTCCGAAGGCATTTCAGCGCCATTTCGCGGAGTGGAGACATGCACACGGCATGCGCTGTCTCGGGATACCCAACACTGCACATTTTGCTAATGTTACGCAAATTGAAGATGCACTTGCTTGTGAGTATTGTATGATAGATTGTACTCATATTGTAAAACTAATTACTATATAAACTTAAGCTCTTGAAAATATTATATATATATAGACTTATTCGAAATAAAAATGTTTGAATCATCTTGAGTGTATTGAAAAGAAGTTGAGGTTAGGGACTTTTGTATTTTTATATGTGTACTTTATTTCAGTATGGGAAAAGATAAAACATCAGAAGGAAAATGAGAGATTTGTTGCAGAAAATGATGAGGAATTTGAAGATTCTCAAGGCAATGTTGTAAATCGTAAAACTTATGAAGACTTAAAACGTCAAGGATTATTGTAAATCAGTATCTATTTATAAATAAGAATGAATTGTTAGTATTCCCAATATTTTAAATAAAATCTTGATAATTTAAATGCATTTTATTTAAATATATAAGCATTATTATTTAATTATTATTAAAAAAATACAAACTAATAATGCTACGATAATCGAAAACACAAGTTTTCAGATTTGCTACATTAGATACAAACCTAACTAAAACACTGTTATTATTTTTTAAGCTTTTGTCTATATTCATCCATCTTGCATATGGATCGCACATAGGCCTCCACACAAGGGGAAATAGGTAATAGAATAGCCTATAAATACAGGTAGTTGCTCAATTTTACTAGCTGTATTTCGTGGCTCTGCCTGCGTGAATCAATACTTTAAATATCCTATGTGCCAATTTAGTATGTAACCTATCCGTGTACCAAAATCCAAATTTGTTTAGTAATTATTGCGTAAAAGAAACAAAAATATTATATATTTAGTTCTTTTCTTCAATGGCAATCGGCCTTCATTCTTACGACTATTTCTGTCAGCGTCAAGTATTTTAATTTTAGTTTCAATCTTTTAGAATATCGTTAAGTTTAACGTTTCCCGCCTTTTTCAATCACCATATTATACATTTTACGATGAATCAACGAAAGTCTTTTTAATCAACGTTAATGACAATTATGGTAGTGGTAGTATTATATATACAATGTTATTGAATTTTATGTGATGTTAACTGGTATAACATTACAAAAAAATTATGACATTCCTTTTCTAACGCATTCAGTTAAAATATATTAAACAAAAATTTTAAATTTTTACATTTTAACCACAGAATCAATAAACAATTTTTCTTACTCTATTCTTTGCATAGATTAAGAATAATATCTGCACTTTACGATTGTTCTTACTCTGTGATATTACCGTCATTGTCAAGAACGACATTGATAGCTTTGAGTCCGATAACAAGTGCTATTAGGAGACTGTTTTGTTTATAATTGCATGTGCTTCTATAGTTTTGATATATTAATTTTGAATTGTTTTTAAATAGAAATGAGAAGTTAGTGACGACTTAAATAACCTTAATAAAAGTTTAATATGGCCGAACAATCCAGTAGTCGAATATTTACCGGCTCCAGAGTTTTAGGTTATGTCAGCACTCATGTGCCATTTGTTGCTAGATATATCAAAAGACGTGGTGAAACTCTCCTTTGTACCAGTGTCGGAAAATGGTTTCATACATATGGATGTGAAAAGTTTCGTTTGCTAACTGTAAGCGGAGAACATCCCGGTCCGATAACTTGTTTGAGCGGCGACAATTATCATGTCTACACTGCTAGTGAAAATAACATTTACGCCTGGAGACGTGGCTGTGAACTTAAACATGTCTATAAAGGCCATAATGCACCTATACATTTATTGTTACCATTTGCTGTTCATTTAATTTCTATTGATGAAGATAATGTTCTTAAAATTTTTGATATAAAGGATGAATCAGAATTTTTAGAGCTGATTTTTGAAAAGAAACAATTTAAAATAACCACATTATGTCATCCACCAACATACCTAAACAAGATATTGCTTGGGAGTCAACAGGGGAAGCTTCAGTTGTGGAATGTCCGGACATCTAAATTAATACATACATTTAGTAAATGGAACTCTGCAGTGACAGTTCTAGAACCTGCTCCAGCTGTGGATGTTGTTGCTGTAGCTCTGGCAAATGGGAAAATATATCTCCACAACTTGCGTTATGATCAGACTGTTGTTGATTTTACCCATGAGTGGGGAAAGATTAGTTGTCTATCGTTCCGGTTAGACGGAGTTCCAATGATGGTGACAGGTAGCACAGCAGGGCACATTGTGATGTGGGACTTGGAAGAGAGGAGAGTACTGTCGCAGATTCAGAGTGCACACTCATCACGAATAGCTGGTCTACAGTGCTTAATGTCTGAACCACTTATGGTCACAAACTCCCAAGATAACTCCTTAAAGTTGTGGATTTTTGATATGCCTGATGGTGGAGCAAGATTATTGAGGATCAGGTAATTTTATAAAATCATACTTATTTGCTAATCCTATTACATTTGTTGATGTTTGTTATGTAATTTATAATATTTATTATTAATTTTTATGTGACAATTTATATACATAAATATTGATTAATAGTTCTGTAGAATATTTAAAACTAGTGAATAAAACTGGTTATAAAATTAACCATAGCAGTTTTTTAACATATAGTCTATACTAGTATAGACAATATTTAACAGCTGTGATGATTGATAAATTATTATTTATTAATATTAATTCATACTTTATAAATACATATAAATTAAAATATGTAATAATATCATTTATGCAGTATTAGTAATGATATGTAAATATTTCAAATATTTCTACACCCTTTAAGTAATGATCAGATTTTACAATGCATTTTTATCAGATAATAACCAATATTTAAAATCACCAAGCCATATTGGTGACTTTTAGCCAGTTTGGAACCCTTATAGTTGAATTTTTCTCTGATTATAGAAAATCTATTTACACATTTATAATGTTAATCTATCAGTATATGATGGTGGGGATCACTAAGAGATGATAGGTGTAGATAAAGGCAGGTGATGGTTTCCCTTGGAAATCATCACCTGCCTTCATCTTCACCTATCATCTCTTTGATCTTCATTCTTCATGAAGATTAACCTGATAGGATATATTACTATCAATGGAACTGAAATGGGTAAAAAAATCATGAGTAATGGGATATAACCAAATATTAATAATCACTCTCTCTACATTCATAAATGTATTATATTCTGAGAGTTTGTACTTATGTTGCAGAGAGGGACATTCTTTACCTCCAACATTGGTACGACACTGTGAACCTACAGGAGAAAATCTACTAGCTGCTGGATCTGATAGAAGTCTACACATCATGAACACTATCACAGAAACATTTAATAAAAGTATGGGTAAAGCATCATATGATAGAAAGAAATCTAAAAAGAAAAGTAAGTATTTGGAAACCAATATGAGTACTATATATATTTACTGTTTGTTTTTTTTTTGTTTCTCTTATAGTTTTGTATGTTTATCCACTCTTCGACGTCGTCGCCCGAGGCACACACTCTTGGACTCCAATGATCCAACTGTGATAACACGATCTCCCTCTTCCCTTCCCTTCCACGGAATCTTTGCCAAGAGCCCCCGTAGACCGCACACCGCATACACCGTCCCTGCTTGCAGGAATGAAGACCCACTGCGACACACTATTTAAGTTTTAAATCAAGTTTTTGTAATGTACCTAGATTTTTTTATGATACATAGAGAAATATTTAGAATGGCAAACAAGCTAATGGCTCATCTAATGGAAAGTGGTAGCCATCATCTATTTACATGAACAACATTATGGATAAGACAGAATATTATATTAAGCCTGAGATCCCCCATATGTGTTGCCAACTTTCCTACCAAGTGTAGCAATTACTGGCAAAACTCCTTTCATGGGGAGGGCTTGTATTCAGCAATGGACAGTTAACGGCTGAAATGATGATAATGTTATACATGTGATATGATGATGAGATGTGCAGCAAAAGTATCACCAAAAGATTATAGACATCTAAAATTTAATCTCTCTTACAATATTATAATTATATTTACATTACAGAAAGGCTGCAAGTGGACCGCTTTGCTTTACCACCTATAAAGAAGTTAAGTTCGTGCATACAAAGAGATAAACAGTGGGATAGCATTGCTTCAATACATGAGAACAAGGCATTAGTTACTACATGGTCCTTCCACAAAATATGTATGGGTGACCACAAACTTAAGCCTGAGGACCTTGAAAAAGGCACTAAAGCTACTTGTTTAATTGTTACACACTGTGGAAATTTTGTTATTATTGGTAAGACCATAATTATGTATATAATTAAAATATTAGATCCAGCATGTATAAATGGATTTTTATTAAGTAGTTTAAATGATGTTTAAATTCCATTTTGGTTTAATTTTAATTAATTTATGCATAATGATATCATCTAAGAAATGTGAAAGTTTAAGGTAATTACTTTAATTTTTTTTTCGGAGATCCATATGTACCATAGAGATTTAATAAATCAATTTTATTATATAAAATCGTCATTGTCGAGTAATAAGACTGAAATTTAGTTTTATATTGCAATTTTTGTCAACATTAAGGACACTTTACAGGCTATGTAAAGACTATGTATGTCTGTGGCTGTATGTATAGCTATGTAAATATACTGTATATTTAGTGTTTTTGCTTACTTCAATGAATTTTATAAAATCTTGGTCCATTTATTTTTCTCGTCAATATTATTCTCGTGATTAAAAATATCTTATCTCTTAAGTTGGATCAAATATTACACATTTTCAAAACTTCATTAAAAGGGGTTGAGCGAGGACTTCGTAATACAGGATTTTTATATATTAGGATTGTTGACAAGTGTGCTACGCATTTCCTTATTTTAAGTTGTGAAATCCTATATAAATACAAACTTATATTTTTTCCCTTTAAAAATTTGACTTTGTTTTTAGGATATAGCAATGGCTCTGTACATAGATTTAATATGCAATCGGGAATACATAGAGGTAATTATGGTAGCCAAGAAATGCCAGCGCATAAGGGTGCTGTCCGAGGTGTAGAGACGGATCTTTGTAATCAGCGAGTCATAACAGCGGGTGCTGATGATACACTCAAGTTTTGGTATTTCAAGACAGGTAAAAAATTATGCATCCCTTTGTCTAAAAATATCTAGTTTTATACAATTGCAGGTTATCAAATAACATATTTTTTATTGTTTTAGCAACAACACCTTATCGTGTGATTAGATTAGAGGAAACGGTCAGCATGACTAAGTGTCACAGAGAAAGTAGTCTATTAGCCCTCGCTAATGAAGACTTTTCCATTACACTGGTAGATATAGACACTATTTCTATTGTGAGGAAGTTTGAAGGACACACTGGCGTTATAAACGACATTGATTTCGATTCGCAGAGCCGGTAAGTGTTTATTTATTTTTATTATTTGACAAGTACAGCTACTTCACGGCAGAAATACAAGTAAGACAAAGGTACCCATGCAAACGACTTTTATACATAGCCTTCCTCTAGTATCTCTAGTATATTAAATTGATTTTGAGGTTGGTAACCTTTAAGAAAAGAGCATATTATTTTTTAAAGACCGGCTGCACATCAACAATTTTTTCAGTGTTGCGAGTGCTCATGGGCGGCGGTAATCATTTATCATTAGGTAAACCGCATGCTCGTTTGCCCCCTGTGTTATAAAAAGGTAGGTAAATAGGGAGTATCTCATTTATACTATTTTACCACCATCACACTATATGACATTAATTGACGTTTTAACTTTGACTCTTCGTACAGAGTGCATTTTATTACTTTAATATACATCACTTCTTATTCAAACAAATTAATCAAAAAATATATAACGCTTGTAGAGTTTCAACATTCGAGATACTAGATAATACCTTTTTGTCGTAATTGTATTACGGAAGGTGTAACAAAACACCTTTACAACTCATGACGTGGGGTACTATGTGCGTTCGTGCGTGCTCCGCCCATGTGTGCCCACGTGCGTGAATAAAATTTGATTTCGTTTCGTATATCTGAATTTAACATTGGCCTTTATTTTATAGCAATTATTGTATACGATATTATTAATTCTGTGAATCCAATTACGTTTAATGTCTATATTGAATTTTCGTAATTTAATAAACTATGTTATAACGAAATAACCCATTTTCCTTTAAAGAACCAAGAGGTAAGAAGAATGCTTTTATAATGTTAATGTTTATGATAATCTATATAATAAGGTAGGTATACTTTAATTCAATTAGTTATCAACTAGCTATTTGCTTTCCATTATTTTAATAGGTACTAAAAATAGTTTTCATATAAAATTAACGTTAGTAATATTTCTTACGTAGGTATTTAAAATTAATTTTTAAATTATTTTTGTAATGGTAGGAAAGTAGGTTGCTCTTTTCTGCTTTTTAGTGTTTGTAAACTAGTAGGTACGACACAAATGGATTCGTTTCGCTGCTATTTCTGCCGCAAAATATTGTGTTCCGATTAGTAGTGATAGATAGACACTGATATATAATTAATGGCAGTGAAATTACTGCGAATCATGGTCTTCAAGTCTACATGTTTGAGGAATTGATAATAAGAGAGTAATCGTGTTTCTGTCGTGAAGCAGCTATATTTGCACAGTTGTGTTTTAGTTTGATGAATAAAATAGTGAAATTACAAGGTATGGAGACATGAAGGATATAATGGGCATCACAATATGTTATAGTGTTAATGTATATAGGCGACGATTACTACATTCCATCAAGAGGGCTTAGCTTGTTTGGCATTCTAAGTTGTATAATTTTTTTTCTTGTTGTAAGCAATAATAGACTGCGGTGATCGTGGTTGCATTATCCTCAGTTCGACCAACACTTGATTGTTATTTTCACCCTTGTAATGATTTCAATCACTTGATTTATATGTATTTTAGCCACGGTTTAGTTTTTACCCACGGTTTCGTTCGCATGACCGTGATATGTTTATTGACCGGGATGAAAAGTAGTTATATCGTTCTTCATTCTATATAGTACGTGTATTTAATATACATACTTCATAGTGATTGTTTAAGCCGTTATGACGCTATTTTGTAACAAACAAACTCACTTTCACATTTATTATCTTAGTAAAGATTGCCAATCATTTGATAAATTCATTGATTTACATAATACGTTAAAAGAATGTTGTGATGTATTTCCTCAAGCCTACACCTGTCTCAAAAGAGGTGTTTTCTGTCTAGCTGTCAATCGATTATAATGAATGTTGTTCCTATTCAGGAGTACAGTAGCCGTAAAATTGATGATTTATTTCTCGATCACGTTTATTAATGATTACATGTTTTTTTTTTTTTTCTATTATCAAAGGTGGTTGATCAGTACGGCCATGGATTGTACTATTTGCACCTGGGACATACCGAGTGCGCAGCTCGTTGATATATTTTCGGTAAGATTTATTATTTCGTCATTATTTTTCTATTAGTTTTATAATGAAATTGTGTGTGATATATGTATTACATTGGTATGTTTTTCTTGGATGAATGGAAGAAGGTGGATATGGTAATCATGTATACGCTGTCGGTTTACGCTGATGGGGTGGTTTGGGCATGTGGAAAGAGTTTTTTCACACTTTTCCAAGAGTACATACTTTTTCTGTAGGGTAAAAGGATCTCGAAACAGACATATGATACAAAAGGTTGGAGGCAGTACTATATATGGTAGATGCGAACCGAGAGAGGAGTCGAGTCTCTTATATCATCTTGTATGTTTAAGACTAAATATCAATGAGTTATGAAAAAAGAGATGTTTGTAAAGATAGCCTTTGGTACTCATTTCTATCTCTCTATAAATAACTTGGCGGGATAGAAAGATAGATAATTGTGAAGGGATGGGTTTTGATTTCAAAGATAAATCGGTGCCGTCAATACTGAACACATAAATCTCAGTGAGCAGGAGGGTTAAAAACGCCGTGGTACGCGAACCATAATAGAATTTTCTTTATATAACCCGCCAATGTAAATGTACTTATCGTTAATATTACGCCTTTAGCGCGAGAGGCCTATTAAACTGGGTGGGTTATGCAAACTAAATCCTTTTATGATACGTGTAAGGAGCCTTATTAATCCTATAGTTCCGTATTTATCTCGTCTTTATGATACAATATTTCATTGTATTTTTCTCACTGACTTAATTAATTTGTATTTGTAGGTGCAGCGCCCATGTACGTCGTTAAGTATATCACCGACCGGAGATTTCCTGGCCACGACTCATGTTGGGGAATTAGGCGTGTTTCTGTGGGCTAATAGGCTTTTGTACGAGAAAATCTTCCTAAAACCAATTGATAGAAATGTTGTTGATATACCAGTGTTGCGTAAGTATTTAATATCTATCGATACTGTTCTGCTTTTAAACATTTAGAATGCTAATAGTTTAATACTTATAACATTTTAGAAGTTGTGTATTCAAATGCACTGAAGTCAGAGTAGTCTGTTATGATCATGCGGTCTGTATGTTTTTCTTTTTGTTATGTATAAAATAACGATTCTATAAATTATTATTGTAGGGTTACCAACTACAGCTCCAGAGAAACCAGATATAGAAGACATAGGAGTATTAGATCTTGGCGATGAACCGGAATACAAATCACCTGAACAACTTAGCGCAGAATTAATAACATTGTCCAACCAATCAACGTCTAGATGGCTAAACCTCTTACATTTGGATGTTGTTAAAAAACGAAACAAACCGAAAACACCAATCACTGTACCCAAATCAGCTCCATTCTTTTTGCCTACAATACCGAGTTTAGAGCTAGAATTTGATTTAGATAAGGAAAAAAACAGTAGTAATGATACAAAACTATTAATGCCTGATGAATTGACTACTTTAACAGTATTTGGCAAGAAATTAGTTGATTGCGATAGTGAAGATAGTTACAGAGAATGCATAGACAAATTAAAAACTTTCGCTCCGGCTACTATTGAAGTAGAAGTGACGAGTATGGCGCCCGACGCAGGCGGTTCCGTAGAAGTAATGGATAAATTCCTTATTATGTTAAACATCATGTTGACAAGTAATAGAGATTTTGAACTTGCTCAATCATATTTGAGTTTATTCTTAAAGACTCATACTAAAATTATTTCTGAAAATGAACAGTTACGCAAAACTTTAGTGTCTGTGGAGGAAACCGTGACGCGAGCATGGACGAAATTAGAAAATCAATTGTTATATAATATTTGTGTTGTTAAAACTCTGAAAGATATGTAATAAAAATTTATAAATATCTATTGTTTTGTTTTTCCAATCGTCGACTGAATATCAGTTAAAAAAAAAAGTTTTGCAGTTGCGTGTATAACTTTGAACGCAGTTTCCACAAACTGGTTCCAATTTATAAGCGGACCTTTTTACGTAGGCTCACATATTTATGCAGGTTTCTTTATAGACGAAACACCTGTCATGTTCTACTTCTTAATGTAATCAGGGGCGAAGAACATTTTTCAGCTTAAATTATACCTTAGTATCTTGTAAAAAGGAAACCCAAACGGTATTGTAGCAGCTCTCTTCACAATAGGGCGTAATAGATGATTCCTCCTTATTGTGAACATTGAAGAAGTGAATTTTTATAAAAGTCGATACGAATAATCTCGCCTGTCGTATTTTATATAATAATATTTTCGGTGAAGTGTAGATATGTTTGAGTATTTATTTATAGTTTTAGATAAAGTCGGTGGGAATACCCACAGACTACATAATATAAGTACCTACTGTACAAAAATTTCAAAAATTATGCCTATATAAACTGGTCTGTAAAGTAACATACTATCATAACTGACAACACAATGGGATATCCAATTATTGAAATTACTTTGTCTACAAAATAATATAAAAGAAGCTGTTCACAAATTAAAATCAGCGGTTTTTTCCGTAACATTATTGTCGAATAGACAATTTTATTATTACTTATTACGCCCTTCTGTTTTCAATTGGGCTTAAAAACTGCAAATACCTAAATGGAATTATTCATCCAAGAAATTATTTAGGTAAAGCACAAGGTGGAATGCCTTTTAAAAAATTCATATTTATTCAAGTCGGTGCAATTTTTCTTATTCATTGGCTTCCGCCTGTTTGCGGATGATCCGCGAGAGGGTCTTTGCGGCGTTTATTGAATACTTTTCCAAGGGAATTAAATCGCGGCCGATCGGTTCACCAGAGCTTCGTTCATTAATGGCTCGCTTCATTTTCGCAATAAGTATTCATTTCTCCCTCTTTCGCAGTCGACCTCCGTAGCTTCAATGAAAATCTGATTGTGCTTCCTTTGCATTATGAATATCTATCGAATTTCACCTTATCTTTAGCGATCCTTTATTGAGCTTAGATCGAGTGTTAAGCAAATAACGTGAAAGCGAAAGCGTTTTATTAATATGTATCATCTTTTTTCCATGAACTCGCCAAGTATCCATGAATCATGTGTAATAAAAAGAAGATGTAACAAAGGCCTTTGAAATGTCATTTCGATATGTTAGCGCTTTCATTTGCAAGCGCTTTAGAAAATGTTAATTTCCGGGCGTTCACAGCGTTGTAGTTATAATATAATTTATGTCCTGTTATGTGTGCCAATTGTATTTTGTATGACTTCTATAAAAATTTGTTTAATATTTGTTAGTTTCCATTAACTGTAAAACAAGCCAGAGGTACTGAGATTGATTCTGTGGCGGAACATCTTTAAACTTATGTAGGTACTAAAATTGAAATTTCAATTTCATATCACAGGAATATTTTTATTCTAAAGACAAATATAAACTATAGTTTTTATAGATTGAATAAAAGTTATTACTATTCTATGATGGTTTATAAAACAATAATTTCGTGAGACTTTCAAATTAAAATAATAGATTAGGAGATAAAGCTTAGAGAAATGGCACGTCAGAATTGGCCTTTTCTATAATATTATAGTAACAATCTTAAAAAAAATCTACAGAGTGCTACAGCTGAGCCCAGTTAAGTATACTTTTTTATTTAATTTAGTTATACTATCCAATACATAACAGATACTTGAAATATCTGTTATGAATTGGAAACAAATTTTATGTTTTATAAAAATGAAAAATAGAGTTATAAAAAGTATAGGTGGTGTTATACGAGCAACTAGGTATTTATTGTCTAACACATTTCCAGTTTGAACTGTAAATATTTCAAAAACTAAATATTAAGCACTTACGTAAAAAGAACAAACATCACTATTATATACATAATTTATACAAAATAGATTTAAAATTTTAAATCATAAACATCTGCCAACAATTCAGTCGGCCTGCTTGTCGACATGAACTTAATTCGTAAACATGCTAATTATTTGATAACAACACCGATGGGATATAGTCGATTATAAAATTTTATTGAAATATATCCAACCATTTCAGTAATGTTATGATAAACAGATAGAAATGATGAATAATTTCTTAGGTACTTTATCAATTTTAAATAAACTTTTTGCATTTACTTTGATTTTTATTAATGTAAATTTATACAAAATATAATCACGATATATTTACGCTTAGATATCTGTAAATGTCGAGGGAGATTTTACAGAAGTTGCGTAGTGTGAAGGATTTATGTATTCCTTTGTACGAGAACATTTCCCAATGTAGGTAGTAGGTATTTAATTTTAGAATAATTGTGAAACTGTCTAATTAATCAAGTTTTAGACAGCCAACGAAGCGGAGCATCTCCGTAACAAATCAATGATTTTCTTTATAATGCCAGGAAGGTATTTTAAGTACTGATAACCTATTTTGTTTGTTCTAAATTAGGTATTCATCTACTCTTTTTTTTTTAATCGATCATAATATAATGGTAACCCCACTTGCGCTAATAGTATACGCTGGCGGGGCATCAATGAGGGATGATAGATGAGAATGAAAACGCAGGTCAGTTAGCCCGTTGTGATGAATACATCTGAAATTTAGCACGATGGTTTTCAGGGGTAACCATGTATAGGTCGACCTGACAGGATATATTGCTAGCAATGGGACTGGTAGTCCGTATTATTAATAATTCCTTTCCCCCAACTCATAATTTAAAACAGTAATGGCTAGTAAGACACGTTTTTGTGTGTCGATTGAAAGAGTGTGTATGGATTTTAGAAATTTTACCATTTGTCTTTTGCAACTAATGGCGATTACTTTTAATTTATACCGAACTATTTTACTATTAATAAACTAACAAATAAACAATAATTGTCTAATAGATACTTATGCATAACACAAAACGAAGTCTACATCGGTGTCGATAAATTATTCGGTGTGAATATCGAACAGGGAAATGAAGAGTGTCGTCCATTTTCTATTACCGATGCTTTATTCCAGGCCATTTAACTTTTTCAGTGTAAAGCTGAATCTTCGCAAAGTGGCGCGGTGGAGTGGGAGGCATTCCGCGGTCGCCTGTCCACTAGGGAATTTAACTTCGATATTAAACGGACGTTGCCAATACTTACTTATTGCTATTCGTTATTGTTATTATCATTGTACTCACATTTATGGATTCAAATAAATATCACAATTTGGTCATTTTGCTTGCATGTTCATTTTAGGCTCTAAAAAGGTTCGGACTCTTTTTTTAATTTTGAAATCAAAGGAAAAAAAAATTTGAAAATTGACAATAACAGCATTAGACAAGTGTTAAATTCATAAATAAATAAATATTTCGTTTATTTATTCTTTATAGCCCACATTACAAAAAAAATGTTGGTACAAAAGGCGAACTTAATGCTATATAGCATTCTCTCCCAGTCAACTTTTGGTAAAATAGAAATGTAATTATGCAGTGAAAAATTGAAAATTGTTGTAGATAAACAGTTACAAACAAGTTTATTGTCTCACAAATTGTATAATATATGCAGTCGAGAACTACTGCATATTATTTTATTGCATTAAACAAATATTACTTCATCATCATCATCATATTAACTGTCCATTGATGAACATAAGCCTCCCCCTTGGGAGATTTTGCCAGTATTTGCCATGCTTGACAGGCGGATTGGCAACCCCAGTTAGGCTTTAGAGATGTTTTAAGAGGGATGCTGCTGCTTATCTCTCATCCTCCCTCAGTCGGCTCTTACGATACCCATGAGAAAGGAAGGGGTGGTCTATTCTATGCCGGGACCACATGACCATATTACTTACAAATATATAACACAAAAACACATACGAATGTAAACATACATACATACATGATAATATATTATAATACCAATAAAGTAATGATGGAGATCAAAGGTGATGATGATGATGAACTTCTTTCATTCTTTTTTTATAAGAGAATTGTAAATATTATTTTAAAAGCAAATTTAGATACTTGTCTTATGTGAATAAGTAAATATTAACAAAATTTAATAGTGCCTATAATGCACAGTTTTTGAATAAATTACATTTTTGCGTCGTCTATTATTACCTTTCGCTATGTAATCAATATTTGGATCCTTTATACAGCGCAGCAGTTAAGGAGACAACTTGATTGCTTCTCGAAAATGAGCTTTCGGATTCAGGGATTACTATTTTGAACAACCTGGAGTAAATTGTTTTTATTTTTTCAACGTGTCCTAGTTTTCTTAGTTTTAAGTATTTGATATCTTCCTAGCTAACAAAGTAACGTCAACGTGCAGAGGGTACGTCAGGCATGCTTTATAACGTCGTTGTGACTATTTTTTATATTCATTTTGGAATGATAGTTGACGGTTCACGTGATAATAATGAAAATCATCGAATAGAAATATGATTTTTTCCTTCACAGCCATTTGGCTGGGACCGACAAGGGACTTCCCTTGTCTGCATTACTCTTAACCCCAGTTATAATTAGTTTTGCGCTCCACTTCATACTTTTGTTTGTTTTTGTAATGTACGACTTGCACGTTCTTTAATTACACTTATAACACATTCTGAGATAGTGCTTTTAATAAGTCGTTTTTACTTGAAATTGAAATCTTTGTAATCACTGTAATACGTAATCACATTAGTATCTACTATAATAGCCAAATCGTTCTGTAAAACCGATTTATCATCCAGTGCCAGTCAATTGAATTGATTGAAGACGCAATTATTAGCAGATATCAAAACTGTTTTTGCCGTATCACCATTTATACGTTCAAGAGGCGAAATGGGGAATTTCAAATTGAAATCCGATCAACTCTTCATTGTAACAATATATTTCAAATCGTAGGAACGTCTATACAACATGAGTTCTCTTCAATCAGTTATGGGGGTCGGGAAGTATCTAATGTTCCATCGC